AAATTACAAAGTATCAAATTAAAAAAATTAAAAATTTGACTTTTAAGTAACTTTTTTTAAAAAATTAAGATGTGAAACTTTATTAACATTTGCTTAAAATCTATTCCAAAATTAATTTTCAAATTTCTTTTTAATAAAAATTTTTAAATCTGTGAGAAAATTTTGCATTTTAAGAAACCTACTTTTTAATCTTCACCAAACACCCTCATTTAAGCAAAACAACAGGAGGATTAAGAACAAGTTGTCTTTGTGAAACTAAAAGTAAAAATGTTTATTATTTTATAATTTAAATTATATTATACTGTTAAATTAAGATTTTTGAATGAGATATGAGGGTTCTCCAATTCAAGATAACTATTTTACAATCTACACTAAATCAATGATTTATATGCATATAATTTACACAAATAAAAAAAATAATGCTTAATTTTATTTTTAAAAAACTATTTTATAAGTTATACTATAAAATATTACTTATTGGCTTGAAAAGAAGCCCCTGATAATGGAAATGTCTTATCTTATTTAATTATTAGTATTTTATAATTTAATATAATTTAAATTACAAAGTATCAAATTAAAAAAATTAAAAAAAAACAATTAAAATAATTTGAGATTAAATTCCATAAGAAGCAAGACTAGAAGTAGAACCCACGACTTATAGCTTGTGAGCTTTTGTTTTCGGCCCTTATCTGCAAATTAAGTACAACATTCTTAATCATGGCTTAATGGCTCATGAAGAAGGTGGTGTAGCTTTTTAATTTGCGAACCCATTTCATCGGGATTAAGAAATCATGATGCTGCCGACTTGACCGAGTTTTGATTCTGTAATATTAAATTACCAAAAATAAACAACGCGCGTCCTTGCACTTTCCCGGACACAACCATGCACTTTCTCGTCCCCTGGCCCGGCGCCCCCACAACCCACGCGCTTACGCTTTAATTTATTCTCTCTCTCTCTCTCTCTGTCCCTATAAAGACCAAACCCCCACCGGTCTCTATAAATATCTGTTTGCAGTTGTTTGAAGCCATATATCTTGTTTTCTTAATTACAGCAGTACTGCATGCACACATAATAATGGCTCTGAAGCTTTCATCTCCATGCAACTGTAGTAGTTTCTCAGAATCGGAGATGGACGTAGCCCGGCAACTGATTCAGCTTTGCAGAGACGACGATGATATTATCTTTGATAATGAAGGCAACAGAGAAAAACGGAAAAGAAAACAGATTAAATGTGAAGAAGATGATGCATCCCCTGAACCTTCTACTACTTCTTCTTCTGCTTCTTCTTCTTCTTCTTCTCCTTTGAAGCAGAGAAAGAAGAGATTTCGGTCGATTCATTTCATCTACAGGTCAACCAAGCCTTAATCGTTTTCAGATTAGGTGCAGTTTGATTTCATTAGGGTTTTCTTTATTATTACTTTGTTCGGTAAGTTGTTTGTACAGTTCTTGCCAACTGAACTTTATCCAACTATATATATATAAAGAGGATAATGCTTATTCGTCTTATTTTTAAAATATATTAAAAAAAAATAAAAAATATTTTAATTTATATTTTAAAAATATTATATTTTAATTTTTTTAATAAGTGTTTATTAAAATAATTTAATTTTATAATAATATTTTTCTGAATCCTTAAAAAGTAAGACGGATAAGCACTATTTCTATTTATATATATTTTCATGTTGAGCTTTATATTTTGATTTCTTTTGTTCTCCGGCTTAATTGCATCCACTTTTCTGTAAAAATTCATTCTAATTATAGCTTTTAAGAATGAATAAAGATGGAATTGTCACAATTAATTACGTTTATATTTCATAATCATATTCCACATGAATCTGCATGTGCAACAATAACCATATGAATATATCATTTATATGGATGTTGGAAGAGTTATACATGTGTAGAGCTTGAGGCATTCTAGGGTTGACAACTTAATATTTTTTTTACAACTTAAAAATAGTGGGTTTAGGAGGACAATGCTATGTTTTGGTAGAAATAATCAGATTAACGGGTAATTTGGCATACTCAATCTGTATAAATAGGAAAATCAATTGGCAAAGTGATAAATTTGTTGAACACCAGTTAATTAATCAATGAATTTTCCAAGGATTGCAAATTGCATCATAATTATAAATAGTTGAACAACAAACTACTCGTTAAATAAAACATGCTTTACACCTTCAGTATATTGTTAGGAAAAGTAAATGATGAAGTTATTTCCCATGGGTTAAGACAAATTCATTTGAACCAAAACAACAACAGAAGCGCCTAGATTTTGGTATTTAAAGCATTTGTTTCCATCAACTAGAAATACCATAGAACTTGATTCAGTTCAGCAGCACAGCACATAAGCTCCAAAACTTTGATTAGTGTTCAAGGTGGAATACATATTCTGTCAAGCGCTGCAGTTTGTTAGGATCTAGTCTCTGTTCCGTCACAACAGGTAGCTTCTTCACGGTTAGCATTCGAGAAGCAGGATCCAGAGCCCAACCTTGCTGTAATACATCTGCACATGACAACCAAAATAATGGATACAGATAAGTCTATTCAATTACCATGCTACAAGTCTTAAACATGCACAGATCTTTTTAAGAAGTTTGGTAGTAGCCAAACACAAGCAAGCCAATAAGTAAAACAATGTATTAATAACATAAATTTCTACTCTGCTGATGGTGATAGGTGATTGAAAAAGACAGCTCACTTTCAACACACTCTAGGATTAGACCGAAAATTCATCCTAAATTGGAATGCTGGCACGAAGGATAGTGATATTTCTAGTGATATTCTCAAGTCATCAATATTAACAATCTCAATTCATTAGTAAAAATATAATGATAGAAATAATAGCACGGTTCACTGCAAACACAAAAAGCAAGGAAAATAAACACTGACAATTTGTCGCATCTTCCTCATTCATTCCAAGAAATAGAGCTGTGTCTTGGATGCTTATTGTCGAATAAGCAGATACAAGCAGCTCAAACATCCTCTTACCATACAGCTCTGCAAACAGTCAGCAAACAGTTAGCAAAAAATCAGCTAATTAAAGTGCTTCATGTTTAATGTCTATAATAGATATATAATAGAAAAGAACTAACAGGTGGCAGCCTTCAGTGTTTGAAACAGCAATGAGAGGCAACAAATAACCAAACCTCAATTTATACTTAAACCGGCAAACAAGAAAGTGTTCAACAGTTGAAGATAAGGTGTTAAACTGCTATATACATGTGTGTGTGTGTATATATGTATATAACAGTACGCAGAACCAATGGAGAAACAACATTACATCAATTTTTAATCACTGTTCCCATATCTGTCAGACTCAATGGGGGACTGGGGGTGGGGCAGAACAAATGTCATGAAGCTGTTGGCCTTTTGTTTTTGAATTTTGCAATTCAACACTGGATATACAATACAAACATTGTACAACAGTGGGGTTTAGTTTTATCTCTACTGCAAGCTATTAGAGAACCCTTAGTTGATTGCTATTTAGCTACGAAAGTATATGCCATTTGTTGATTGCTAAATTTTAACTGAGGTAGAAAAATCATACTGAACATAAAGGATGTGGTCAAAGAGTACAGTTACTCCAAAGAACTAATGCAATTCTAAATTTCTAATTGAACTGAGCCATTCACAAAACCTTCATTTAAGTACACTTCTCTAAAGGTTTACCATATTTAAGTTCAATCAACTGATTTCAGAATTTTCGGTGCTTAGCCTCAAGGAAGAGGGGAATAAAAGATAAATGGCATGCTCATTTCCTTTTGGGTAGAAATCACATTCAATTTGACTAAACCTAAAATATCAAATGAATGACATGAATCTACAGTTTTACAACACACTGCCTGAACCATTTTCCTTCAATTAATGAAAGAAGGCATTTACAAAGAAAGCATTGTGTAAACTATGAGAGAGAAAGCTTGCCAGTAAATGCAGATACGAGAAGCTGTGCTTCCTGACTCCAATCAAACCCACGAAGGGCCTCATGCACACCAGCATAGTCCCTCACCCACAGCTTCTGTCCGATTTTCCAAGCTGCAACAACTTCTGGTTGACTCTCCTTGATTGCTAAAGGTATTGACTTCCAAAGAAATCGTGCACTGTTACTGCAATATCAACTCCATAAATTATAAAAACCAAGTAAAAGTATGCCAATCCTCAGTTCCAGAACAAATAAATCTCCAAAAACCATGAATCTTGAAACCCCATAAGTAAAAATTTTAACATTAGAATTTACACCATGAAATTTACTAGACATACATATCATTAACAAAGATGTAACCCAGAAGATGGACTGCAAAAGGCCATTCCCCTTGAAAAGCAATGCCCTCCGCTGCTGCCTGTTTCCAGAGACAAAAAAAAAAAAAAACCTGCTTTAGAAAGTTGAGCTAGGGTTTTGGTAGGGTTCAAGAATGCTAAAGAAAGCGCTAAGAATCGAAAATTTCAGATAATCGACAAAAGGTTCTGGTCATATATTAGATTAAAACCCTACTAAGAGAAAACAGAAATCAAAACGAAATCCAAACTGAAAAAAAGAAGAGAAAGAGAAATTGCCTGAAGCATGAGGTTGTCGCAGATATCGGCGATCTTCTCGAACGATTTCGAAGCCAACGCTTCCGTCATCGGAGAGAAATCCATCTCCGCTGCTGTAATTCTGTGCTGCTCTAAACTTCCGTAGGAAGAAGACGGAGAGTAATTACAGAGTCGATTTCAGGAGCCCAAGTGAGGCCCAATGAATTTTGTAAACATCAACAAGCCCATCCTAGTTTTATGTTAACTGCCGAACCGAATAAAAGGTCAACCCGACCCGAGATTTTGTCCCGCCATAAACACACACTCGTTCTCTATTTTTCCCGCCAAATGGACCGGGATCTCCATTTCTGGAAATCAGGAGTCAGGAGTCAGGACTCAGAAGCCGCCATGGAAGGGGCAGAGCTAACCTCGGAGAAGCGGAGCAATTCATTGCTCTGCTCCTCTCATCCCTTGATGGGAACTCTCGCTTGCAGAGAAAAACTGTGATCTACGTCTACGGCAGATCCTGATGGACTAACTCACATGTAGATAGCCATGATCTTCAACCCGCTAGAAAGAAAGGCCAAAAGTGAAGAATCAGCTCAAGGTTCATCTGTTGTCAAAGATCTCAGATCCAGACGGGTCTTCTCTTCATCTTCTATCGACATTCAAGAGGCTAATTGGTTTTCTTGCAAGGACAAAAATCCGAAAGGTACTAATCTTGTTTCTTTTTCTCAAAGAGATGGTATAACTAGCGATTGCCTGGACTTTGTTGAGAAGCTGGATGCAGGTTCTTCTTGCAAAGAGCGGAATCTGGAAAAATGTACATAATCGTTCTTGTATTGACAAAGATAGGGTCAAAGGTGAATGCTTAATTGGTTTGGGGAAGGTGGATTTAGGATTTTCTTCTAAAGAAAAGAGTGGCAGTGCAGAAGTTAGGGTTGAAGATTCTGTGCAGTCGATGCCACCGGATGCTAAGATCTTTTGTGGGAAAAGAAAGTTAGAGAGAAATGCAAGTGCAGAAATGAATTTCGCAGTTCATGTTTTGGAGAAGCAATCAAAAGAAAGTATCCAGAAAATTTTTGGAGGCTCCAGAAAGGGTGATTGTAGGAATAAATCAGTAAGAATTCGACAACGTACTTAATGCAATGTTTATTTTGCTTTAAGATATCAAAATGTTGAAGCTGTTGCATTACTTTTCACTAATATGATTTTCTATTAATATAATGATTCCATATCTTTATAATGTTCTTTGCCAATGCAAGTGAGCTTATATCTATTTTGGAGTAGGTTTTTAATCCACTTGCTCATGCAAAGCTTTTCAAAACACCAAGGTCATTCTGCTAGAGAAGATTGCTTCCCTTTTTGACAGATACCAAAGAAGAATTTTGTTGTAAGTTCATTCCCTTTTATGTTTTAAATTTTCTCCCTAAGATGGGTGACTTTGATTACAGAAGATTAAATTTGGCTGGCAGCTTGGTAAAATTAGGAGAATGAACTTTCTCATAAATGTGGACTTTTTGACAGGGTAAATTTGTTGTTAGGGATATTTACTTGATACGTGCTGTTGGTTCACAGGTCCAGTTGTTATATGGTTCTGTGTTTGAGTCTACACACACAACCTTAGTCTTTTGCTTTTTATGGATGACATTAACAAGCATAACAGTCAAATTGTTTTGTTTTTTCAGTTCATTACGGTTCATGTAATTACCATGTTCTTTGACATGAAAAACCTTGATGGATACAAAGTTTGAAATCTATTTAATATATAGGTGAAAGAGGCCTGCTGGAAAGCCTCTGAAGCAGAACTTGCTAAACAATGCCTTAACCAAATGAATAAAGATCTAAACATTCACTGCAGAATCATAGTAAGTATCCCCCTTGTACCGCATCCTCATCCCCACCAAATCCAACTCACTCTTAAGCATTTTTTGGCTGTCCAATAAACTTGGTCTTTCTTGAATCCATACAGTGTGGGAAGCAACCAAGGGTGAAATTTGCCAATTATGATGATGAACATATCATTTCCATGACAGATTCACAAAACAGATGGTCTGACATTATGAGGAATTTGCTGCAGTGATATTTGCTGTGCTTTCTTTTGGTTTCTGATTTATAATTGGCTTTGAAGGTACATTATACATCTCCATATTACATAGCTAGCTGCCTGTATTGACAATACTACAGCTTAACTCTATGAGGTGAATGTAGTGTTGGGTTTGCAGAATGAAGTTTGCATTGTTATGATTTCTGAACAATTATCTGCTAATCTTATTGTTGTGGAATCACAACCGTTACCTTGGCTCCGTGAGGCATGAGCTAATGCACATATCCATGTTTCATGAATAGTCACTTATTAGTTATTATTATATTTGTGTTAATGTCAATATTGGTGTTTCTACTCTTTCCAAAATGCTTATACCGTCATTAGACTTTAAAAATGTTAAATTCAGTCCTTAATTGTACTTTTCAAGAAGACTAATGAGGGGTATCCTTAGGCTGTGGGAGAATAGGTACAAAGTCCGTATTGCTCATGCCATTTTTTAGCTCCATTGATGAACACTCAAAACAAAGCATCACAGAAGAATAGGTGTTATAATTCCATTTGGATGAGTTTTAGTCTCCATTTTTATCTCATAGGGTCTCTTGGAATTGGAAAACCATTTTTATTGTCTTATGCATTTCTTGTTTAATATTTTTGTGAAGAACATGCACAGTATATGGCTATATGCTATCCTAGGACTAGGAAGGATGTCATGTGATGTGAGAAATTGATTGGAAGCTGGCTTGGCATATTCAATCTGTAAAGAGTAAGCAGAACCACCTGGTAGAGCAAGCGGTTAGACAACTTTGCTGTGATATGCACCAGGTCTCAGGTTTGAGACCTTCCCCATCCTCTTTCCCCCCATTAGGTAGTAGTGTAATGCAATAATTGCTTGTAAAACTTATGTCTGGATTTCAAAATGAGAACATACATCACCTCTTCACGTGTTAGATGGGCATTTCAAGACGGAAAGTTTTGGACTGTTGTGCAGTTTTTTTTTTTTTTTTTTATAAAGGCAATAATTAGTAGGTTAGTATTGTCAGATATTAACAGATATTAGCAATTGTGAATTCAATCTTCAGATCTGATGAACAGTCCACCAACATCAATAAGGCACGGCCATCAAGTTGCTTGGTGGAGTTCGGCTGTTGTGCAGTTAATACATGAACAACAGCTAAAAGACATAAAGTTGGGTGATGGGTGATGCGTATGTGTAATCTCGGGTCAGCACAAGCCTTATACTTATATTTCTTCAGAGACTACAGAATCCAGACAAAGTCCAGCCCATTAGGAGTTACACGACAGTACTAATTTTTTCAGACTCTGAGAAGATAATTATAAAGCA